GGCATGCTGGATGCTCCCCTTCTGCACAAAGCTGTGCCAAAGATAAAAACTCTCCAAGGCTGGAGGGAGAGAAGCATAGGGCAAAGTGTTTTGCCTGCAAAGGGTTAAGATCAGGGAAGAGACAGGGGCTGGCCAAGTGCCAAGGCAAGCCTCCAGCTAAACCCAAGGTGGGCCAGCCAAGAGGCAGAGGCTGCTGCCCTCGCCCAGTAACCAGCTGCTGCCCTCCCCCAGTAAGCCAGCCTGCTGTGACCCATCCCCACAAATAGCTCTGGCACCCAGCAGGCTTTAGTAACACACTGACAGGCCATTTACAAGGTGTTGCTAAACACTGCTCCTCCAGCTGGGCTCCTTTCTCTACAATAATTACACATAAAGCTGTAAACATGATTTCAGCCCTACTGGTCTAGGCAAAAAGGGGAATTTAACACTTCTCCTCCAAGCTGGGGATAACTTGCACAGGATCTCTTTTCCAGCACTGAGATCCATGTGTGCTTTTGTCTGATTTTAGGTGTGCTGAGCAGTTACTGACCCAGCTGATTCTGGGCTGGACAGGATGAGTGTGCCCAGGACCAAGTGTCATTATTAAAAGAAAAATTGGATTTTCTTTGAGGTCTTTACAACCCCTGCCGCCAGTACAACGTGCAAATTGTCACATTGGGCCACAGCCTGGTCCCCACTGACAGACATGCTCTGCTGAGGTTTTTGAGCTGCAAGGACTGAACACATGAGTCAATGTGAGAGCAGCTGAATGCTCTGCTCATCACATCATTGCATGGCTGGCAGGAAACAGTTACCAACCAGCTGACATTAAAAATCATATTTAGATATTAACAAAGCTGTAGGGATGACATAGTTGTGAAGGAAAGAAAAATCAAGTAAGAGGGACCACCAATGTGGTTTTAAAATTTCTGTTAAAAGAGCAGAAAATCCCATTTTTTCATTTGGCTTTACTGCAGACTTTGAGAGCTCAAGTATCCCTAATGCTTCTTAATGCTGGGAGAGAGGAACACTTGTACCCCTATTTTGCACCAGAGAACTGAAACACAGAGGGAATCTCCCCTTTCCTCTTTCTCCCAGATCTGGATTGCTGCCCACCCTATTGCTCATCACTTCTGAAGACTTACAGGACTCACAGAGACATGAAGGATTTTATATGCATTTAAATAACAACTCCACACAAACTCCATCCCAGCCTGTGTGAGAAATTAATCCACAATGCACAGGTCCTACATTTCCTTGGAATAGCATTAGATAGCTGTGAGTTAACCCATCAAAATACACTGTGTTCTTTACAGCAGGTAGACCCAGAGGTCTGACAGCCCAGTGCCAGTTATAACCTCTCTGGGGTTAGAAATGAAGGGCTGATGTGCCAAGAGCAGCCAATGTGACCCAGCAACAGGGCTTTCACAAGCTCTGCATAAACACCAGCTCAGGAAGAGCAAATGCAAACCACATTTCCAGAGAGCTTTTCCCCAACCACAGGGATCTTGCCCTGGGAAAACAGCTGGAAGAGAGGCACAGACCCAAGGGTCTAAGAGTCAGCTATCAAGGAACAAAGGGTGGGAACATAAGGTTTAATATGGGAATTGATCTGGGGAAAAAAGTCAGCAAGAAAGAGAGCACAGAGACAGGCAAAAAGGAAATTTACTTTGGACTCAATCCTATAAACAATGCAAGAGAGTTTTGTGGATGCTGCTCCTCACCTCAGAGATCCACCCACAGCCACTGACAGACAGACAGCCCTTGTCACCCACAGCACAGCTCTTGGGTGGAAGGCACGAGGATGGAGGGCAGGTCACCATCAGCAGGAGGGAGGGGAGAGCACATCCTGCACCTCTGCACCTCCCAAAGCCTCACCATGACTCTGACTGGAGCTCTTGGCTCTCAGGGGAAACACAACAACTGAGCTGCCCTTGTTCTGCAACACAAACCTGGCTGCTCAGCCCACACCTCCCAGCACAGCAGGCTCCAACCTCAACCCCAGAAAGCTTCCTCAACAGGAACAGAACCTCAACAACCTCAACAGGAACAGAACTTCAACAACCTCAACAGGAAAGCTCCCCAAAGCTGAGGGGGCACAGCACAGCCCAGGCTGGCCCTGCCTGCCCAGGCACAGGGGAAGGAGCCAGACCACCCGTGCCCATGGCAGGGTAACGTGGGCCAGCACAGCCTCCAGCTGACAACAGGTGGTTTCCAACAGGAACAGCCCAAGCTGGCTTTGAACTGGTGCCCAAGCACAGAAAGCTCCAAGCTCCATGCTCAGCCCCCTCAGAATTTTCTTCCCAGAACCCAGATTGGGAAAGGAAGAGTCTGTACGTTGAGTCCCTTCATTAGTGGTTTTCTCTGCTGCTCAGGCACAGTGCAAGCATCTCCCTCTCAGAGACAGGAGACTCAGAGGGGATCTCATTAAGGCATATAAATATCTCCAAGGGATGCCAAGAGGATGTGCCAGACTTCTCCATGGTGCCCAACAACATGTTTTAGCCACAAAGTAAAACACAGGAAATTCCACCTCAACCTGAGGAAGAGCTGCTTTCCATGGAGGGTGGCAGAGCACTGGGACAGCAGGCAGAGAGGACATGTCCCCCTCTCTGTACCCATCCCAAACCCACCTGTCCCAGGTGACCCTGCCTTGAAAGTGGGGTTCAACTGGGTGACCTGCAAAGGTTCCTCCCAACCCAAACTATTCTGGTATTTTGTGATCAGAGAACACCAGACCTGCCTGCAAGACCCAAAATGCAGCTTTACCCCTTCCCTTCAGCAGACCACAAGGCCAAAATTAGGGGCAAAATAATACAACAAATAAAAAGCAGGGCTGAAAGGGCTTGGGGGATCACTTAGCCCCAAGCCATGGAACTCCTTTTTCCAGATCCCTGCTGGATGGCTTCACCAGTGTCCTCTGGGCAGCAAGCTGTGATGGTGACACCAGTGTCACTGGGCCAGTGTCAGTGGCTGCAGCTGCCTGCTGGGAAGCCAGGACATGAGGGATTCCCACAGGAACCCAGCCAAGGTTCAGCCTGGGTGCTGCACTCTCCCATTTAAATAGCCAGGGTCCTGTCCAGGATCAAAGTCACTCCAGCCAACCCCAAGTCAATCTGTTAACTGGGACATGCTGTGGCTTCCACCACAACCTAATTCTGTGCAAAAGAGAGCAGGAACTGCCTCTCCCCTCTCCTCTTTTCCCCAGAACTGGATTGCTGCCCATCCTGTTGCTCATCACTTCTGAAGGCTTACAGGACTCAGAGAAATGAGGGATTTTATGTGCATTTAAATAACAACACTCCATCCTTCCCTTTTCCCTTGTTCCTCTGGATGTTTCCCCATCTCATCATTCAGCTGATTTTTCCAAAGGTAGGCCAGAACTGCTCCTGCTCTTATTTATCTTTACAAGGAGATCCTCGTGGTTTCAGGCAGCTCTTGTACTACAAACTTCAGCTGGGCCAAGGAACCTCCTTGGGCTCTTCTCATCCAAAGGGACCCTGTGGCAGCTGAAGGAACAACCTGTCAACTTTCTGGACAAAATCTGATTGAACAAACACAACAGAACCACAGAATGGTTTGGGTTGGAAGGGACCTTAAAATTCACCTTGCTTCACCCTGTGCCATGGGCAGGGACAGCTTCCACTGTCCCAGGTTGCTCCAAGCCCTGTCCAACCTGGCCTTGAAAGCTTTCAGGGATGGGGCAGCCACAGCTTCTCTGGGCAACCTGTGCCAGGGCCTCCCCACCCTCACAGGGAAGAATTTCTTCCTAACATCCAATCTGCCTTCATATTTAGCTAATTTCCCCTTGTCCTGTCACTCCTGGCCTTTGTGAAAAGTGAAATGAGCATTAAAATTCCCATTGGATTCCACCTCAATACAGGAGCAGGGGGGTGTTCACCCATGGAAAAGCTGGAATGAAGCAGATAAGCAGGCTCCTAATGTCAAGTGCTTATCAGAGCCATCTTCTCACCTTTGTTTTCCACTCCCAGAATATCCCAAATCATGAGGAATAAGAGGAACAATGAGGGATACCCTGCCCTACCCATACAAATTGGAATCAGCAGAAATCCCATGTCAGCAAGAGGGAGGGAGAGAATGCAGAATGGTGCTGGCATTTCAGGGAGCCCTTTTTAGCTCTGGCAGGAAGGTCAGAGCCAACACAGACATCTCCAACACAATGAGGTGCCCAAGCTAAATATAAACATGACAAGGGCACGGCTACAGGAGTTTGTTTTTACAGTGTGCCACATCCCTGCTCAAAATAATTCACAGCTTTATCATCACTGACAGTCTTTGTGTTCCAGCAGAGGCAGAGCCCAGGCTTGCACACACCTGCCAGGCTAAGTGAAATGATTAACCAAGAATGAGAAATAGCCAAACTTTTCCATTGCTATTGTGCCACTCTAGGAAAATCCGGGATGTTGCTCTCCTGTGATGGGATCACCTCACAGGGAACCCTTATCTGACTTCCTCCCACACACACACATTGCCCTTAATGTCACATAAACATGACAGCACTCAATCCCCCAGGCCTTTCACAATATGCCACTTGGCAAAAACTCCTTTTCCTTAAACCAGGCCACAAGTTGAGGTTTTTACACTTTGCTCACAAATATCAAGATTTGGTTGAGAAACTGGCTTTGCCTTACTCAGAAAAAAAAACAAGAAAAGGTGACATTTCCCTAGCAGAGCTATCTCAGTTCTGGCTCTCAGAAGTGCAAAGATTTCTAGAGAAAAGGGAACTCTTGTGGAAGAAAGACCCGAGGTGTTAAAAGCAAGGAAAAGAGAATGTGCAAGAAGAAAATTATCAAGTTAGAGATAAAATATGCTTCAGTCCCAGTGAAGCTAGAACTCAGGCTGCTATTTTTAAGTTCAGTGGTAGGAAAAGAGAAAACCATGATGCCAAGCCAGCAACACATTTGTGGCACCCTGGAGACATTCGAGTGACTCTCGTGGCTGGTATTTAAGTTGGTATTTCTTGCTAGGCTTATGTTCTAGCAGGGAAAACATTTCCTTACTCTCCAACATGTATTTCTTGGCAATGGGCAGGGACAGCAGGCGGATGTGCCCGACGAGGGAGCCCCAGGCCTGGGCTCTGGAGAGTGGTGCTTCAGGTGGCAGAGGGTTGTAGGGCTGGATCACCAAATAAACAGTCAGCAACACCAGGCCCAGGGTGAGCAGTCCCTGCAAGGGAAAAAAGACACAGAGATAATCACACTGCAAGGAGCTGAGGTGTCCTCACACCAGGACACACCTTCTGCTGCTATCACAGGGCTGTGGCTGTGCACCACAGCATGAACATTCTTTATTTTTGCTGGGTCTCCTCGTTCAGCTGCAATGCTATTTATGTACACAGAGTTGTCAGCCAGTTTTATTATTAGGGCTGTCCACGGATGAAATGAAGCAGCCTCCAAACCCAAGCCACACAAACAGCTCTGTTCCTGTATTTTAGCACTGCAAATAACCCAGCATGAGATCAATCAGGATTATCTACAGATAGTTCCTTTTCCCTATCTAACCAAATAAAAGCTTGCACTCCTGCCATGCCTCTTACACAAGGAAAGCCCTGTGGCTTTTGCAAACATCCGTCAAGCCTCGAAATACTTTGGCAGAGTTGGCACCAGCTCCCTCCTCCAGACCAGAATCCCAAATAAGCCTTAAAGAGATGACATGACGCATTTCTCCCCCTGGCCAAAGTCAAACTGAATCAACAGCAAAAACAAGAACAGAAGCTGAAAGTTCAAATTTGCAGTTTCCTGTTCTCCTGCCTCATTTTACAGCTTTTTATAGGACACGAGGAAGAGAGCTTGAATTTTTTTTTCCAAATAAAATCCATTGCAATGGATTTGTAGAGATGACACTAAAGTATTACAGAGTATTATGTCAGTGGGAAGCTTTTTAGACTTGAAGCAAACATCTGGTCTAGTGGAAGGTGTCCTGCCCATGGAAGGGACTTGGAACTGGATGATATTTAAGATTTCTTCCAACCCAAACCAGTCTGGGATTGAATGGTCTCAAACCTACCTAACAATAGCATCCTTCCACTCACTTTGCAAAAGTTTTTACAGAATCTTTCAGTTAAGGCTTTTAAAACATTTTTCTACCATGAAGCATGATGATAACAGCTTTATTTCATAGACCAGAAGGAGAATAAAGACATGTAGAAGTTTGTGGCAGGGTCAGAAACAGAGCCATGTTCACTTCATGACTCAACCCTGAACTTCAAGAATCTCTTTCCTGCCTCACATTTCCATTCAGGATGCCAACACTGAGAACCTTAATCTGAAAAATCAATCCAAATCTCATTAGTTAATAATTTATGGGAGAGGAAGATGTGGACAACGTAAATTTACAGCACATATGAGCAATTCCAAATCTTGGGCAGCCGCTCTCGAAGCAGGTCATGGCATGAAGGAAGTTACACTTCTAAAAAAGAATCTTTATTTTTAAAATAAAGATCTTGGAAAATTCATCAAGAAAATGCAACGGGAAATAAGCTCAGGTGCACAGGACCATCAAATGCTGTGTTCATGCACAAAAGTCATCTTACCTTGTAGAGAGCCACTAAGACAGGGTACCGTGGGGGGCCCCTCTGGGGTTCGTTTCTTTCCAAGAGCTGCTTGATGAACTTCTCAATGGCTTTTTCTGACATGCCACACTGGTGGCCAGTCTGCCTCACCAGATCAATGGTCTCTGAGAGCTTGTCATAGATGCTGAGCTCGTTGGCTGAAAGCTCCATGGCCTCCGAGGAGAAATCCCTGAGGAGAGATGGGGTGTGTTAACAGAAATCACCTGCAGGCACACAACCCAACAGCACAGCCATGCCAGGAATGTGGCAGTGCCCAGGAAAGAAGGAAGGATCCTCTGGATTAAATCTGCTCCCAACAAACAGCACAACACTGAGCTGCACTCCTGACAGTCTCTGCTGCTTCAGGATCTCCCACCGACTCAAAGAAACCGTGAAATTCCCTGACAAGAGCAGAACCGGCCGAGATTCGCAGCTTATGTAAATGAACAAAGCTTCCCAGCAATCCATGAAACTCCATTTATTCATCTCCTCCAAATGAATCCGTCCCATAAAGCAATTGCTCACCGAGTACAAAAGCCAACAATGCAAAGCTGATCACCACACACAGCAGCCCTGCTAAGCCCTCCCGTGCTACGATTTCAGTGGCTTATTTTAACCCAGATTTGTGTTCATTAAATCCCCCGTCAGCAGTGGGACAGGACAGAGAAACAAGCAGAAAGCATCGGGCAAAGTTCGGCAGTTTACAATTTGTCGAAATTTTCGCAACCTAACGTCAAAGCCAACTGATTATTGAGCAAGAGCGACGTGAGAGGCAGCAAAACCCCCACCTTCCTCTGCAAGCTTGCCTGCAGGTCAGACATGCCACAGAACTAAATATCCCAGCAAGAACTGCACTGTGCTGGGTGACAAAATGGCATTTGACAGCAAATTATTTCTCACTTATACAAGAACACACCCATGAGAGATCAACATTAAGTTGCAAAATATAAAAAAAAAAAAAGTATATTCCTCTACCACTTCTACTCTGCCACAAAGGCCTCTTTGAGAGCAGCTGATGGGCTCAAGAAAAGATGTAAAGAAAAATTGCTGGACAAGGTACAAGCTGCCAATGTGAGAATCACGCTGTAAAAACTTCTCATTGCCTGGGAAAAAAACACTGGCACTGCCTGGGGGAAAGGCAGAATCTGCAGAGTTTTGCTTTGCCTCTCCTTTCTGATGTGGGTAACACTAACCTGATCAAACTGGGCCAGCTGGGGGAGAGTTGAGCAATGCTCTGCCCTGAGAGCACAGCCTGAGGGTCATCACATAAAAACACAATAATCACAGCTGAAAACTGAAATCACACCCCTGTCCCCATTTTGCTCTACAGTTTCCTGGCCCCAGGAACCAGCTCATGAATCTACTTCACCCAATTGACCACTTTGCTCCCCAAATTCTCTCTCTGCACTGTGAGAACTGTAATTATTGACAGGGCTCTGCTCACCTGAGCACACACTGAGCAGCCCTGAGTAACAAACCACCTCAACCCAGATTTGCTCAGCTGTCATTTGTTCTGGCTGTTCCCATGGCACAAATCAGCCACAGCTCTATGTATGGACAGAACTACAGACATGATAAAGCTCAGATTTGAACTCTGGTTTGCCTTAAAAGAGCTGGCTGACAGCTCTCCCCCTAAACCACCTACAAGTCACATCTCAAGCAAGGGGGATGTTAATATCTTCTTTTTAGTGCAAATCTGGGGTGTATTTTCAAAAATCCCCACATTGCACAGCTTCAGTGGTTGCTCTTCTCCCCACAAGATCTGTTCTGCCCTTTCACACTTGTTTATGTGGTCACATGGAGCATCAGATCAGGAAAATTATCTGGCTGAAAAATAACCCTGATTTGTTTCAGCAGCTGCCTAAGCATTCAACTCCAGCAGTTAATGTCAGATGTTATATTAACATCAGTGTCAAATTTCTAGCCACAGCCACAGAAACACCAAAAAGGTAAAAATGCCAAATTAAATCCCAACTCTGAGAACATACTGCACTGCACTACCAGGTTAATTAGCTCCTGGCCCTCTTCTACCAGCATTCCCTGCATTCCATGCAAATATTTGTCCCAGATCTTGCCACCTGAACAGCCCCATGGGCAAGCAAAGCAGGTTGGGTCAATAACATCTCATATTAACCTCTCCAAGACAAGGACTTTTTTTTTTCCTCATCTGTAAAGCACCTGCCACGCACGTGACAATAAAAACAAGCTTTACTAACTCTTTCATTCATGCAATACCCTGATTCATGGAACAAGCAGGAGCCAGCACATCTGCAGGATATTAAAGGCCTTTTTTCCCCCCCTCTCCAGCTTTTCTGGTTACTCCAGTTGCCTGGACACTGTAAGTGTTGTGCTAAGTGGTCTGAAAGATTATCTGGTGTCCTCTGGCTCCCGAGTGCCAAAGCTTCCCCCTTGAAGCTGTCCCGTGCAGAATTCCAGCAGATTCAACAAGCTTCTCCTGCTTGCAGGATCTGCCTGGAACCACTTATAACAAACATCCCCACAGAAATGCTGTCAAACACTGTGGTTTCCCCTTTCCCAAACAACACAAAAATCCTGCTAAAATACAACACTGAGATATATCCCAGTTCTCACCCCTCTCCACTCTGAGCAAACACCTTTGTGGACAACCCCTGTAAATCACAGACACTGAAAACCCAATCCAGCTCCTTGACAAATTCAAGAGTAACTCAATCCTCCAGCTAGGAAATAAGGCATTCTGCTCCCACATTGCTGGGAGAACAGATGAGGCCTTAAAAAACAAATAACAACCCATTATTTCCCTTCCTATCCCTACAAAATAATAACAACAGGCTACTGTACCCTCTTTGCCAACACACACACTGAGCAGGGCTCATCCTTTGCAAACCCCTTAGACAGAGGCCTTTAAAGGAGGAACCCATATGTTATTCTGGTTTTTTATGAACTCCAGCACCCCGGGAGGAATCAGCAGCTCTCTCCACGAACAGAAACAGTGATGGCACTTGGCTGGCAGGGTTTGCACCCCAGCACCCAGCTCTGCCCACAGACCCCAGCGTGGTTAGTCCAAGGCTTTACAAGGTAAATATTTAGACAGAAACGGTGCTGGAGGAGTCTTTAAAAGGGAAAGCTCGCTCGCCTTGCGGGTGAACCTACAGTGATGTACATATATATAGATTTAGATATAAAAATATATTCCCATCTGCTTGGTGCCGCCTCTCTCGCCCTGCCAGGGGATCAGGTCCCAGCCTTGCTCTAAAACCGCTCCGGAGGAATCCTGACCCGGCCACAGCCCCACGGCCTCGCCCGTGTTCCCCTGAGGCAGAGGAGCCCCGGACATGGGGACATTCTTAAAAATAAATCAATAAACTAAGCAGGACACCCCGCACCCCGGCTCCAGCCTCCC